CCCCCCCCGGCTGCGGTTGGGCAACCTCCCCCTGCCAGTAGGACATACAGATGGCAAAAGTGAGTAGGGCCTGTTTATATATATATATATATAAATAAAACCTTCCCACTGAAATTATTATTGTACAGTTCACTAAACAACCCTCAGAATTCTCATCAAAATACCCAGACATGACACTGTAAAAGGTTAGTACACTCACTGTAAGAAACAGCAAAATAGCTGTTTCTCAACTATTTTCTCAGCAAAATTCTACTACAGATTTAGAGGTAGGAGAAAAAAATTTTCTTGCTTCTAGCTGAGCTCTTATCTTCCCTTTAGAGTGTTTCATAAACAAAATGTCCATTTCCTATTTGAAATGCATGTGGGAAAAGCTCTTCTAGAGTCCACAGGGTGGTGCAAGACCTTCTCTGTTTGTGTGTGGACCATAACAATTATAGCTGCCTTACATTTGCCTGCTACATTTTGTAGTTCACATTTAGCTAAGGTGCTTAACCACACACATACCAAAACAGAACTGGAAAAAAGCATGGTAATGATATGTTGCACTTGGAACACACTCTCATTACCTCCCAGCTATCTGGTTCCAAAAATTCTTTTTTCTCTGTAGCTCGCAGGAACTCTTCCAAAGTCACTAGCCGGTCCTTGTTTATGTCAACCTATTTGAAGCAAAAATTAAATTCAAGCTAAAGGATGGGTTTTTGTGGAGCTGATGTTTAATTTCATTACATAAATATCTTCAACTACAGCCATTTTATTTTTAAACTATCCCATTTTCAAAGGAATGCCTGCAACATCATCTGAAAACTTCTCTCATAAGCTCATATAGCTTAACAAAAATGGAAATAGAAAGTAAATCCTCACATTTTAGTTCAAAATGCTTTAGTTCACATTTTAGTTCAAAACTGGCTTCATTGGAAACATTATTTGTGGTCACAGCCTCAACACTAATAGCAGCATGCATGATTTTTTTTTAGAAAAAATGTTCTGTAGCTTTCTGGTAATAATTTTGTAACTGTGAGTCAGAGTAATCTCCACTGTTGGATAGGGAGGTTTCAAAACATCAAAAAAACCCCAACTGAATTGTGTCAGAATCCTTTAATGGGAAGGGAGGAAATGCTTCCCTTTGTGACTAACAGAAGACCAGGCTTGCTCATTCCTCAGGCTTAAGGAAAATAGTCAAATACAGAAAAGATATGAGTGAAAAACACAGTGGTTCAAAACATCCTTTTCCTTTCCTCTTGTTGCCTGAGCTGAAAACCTAGCAGAACCACTAAAGGTACTCACTGTCCTTGAACTATGAGCCCTCTTCTGAAGACACAAAAGTGAGCTACGTGAAAGAAGTCATTGCTCTACTCCCTCTTCTCACACCTAAATCTTACCCATCTGTCTAGTGCAAAAGCACATTTAAGGTCTTCCCTGTTTGACACAAAATTTATAGGGAATTTCTGTTGAATCTCAGTATCTGCAAAAGATGTGCTACAGCACAATTCCTTCTCTGGAACTTCTGAAATAAAAACTTGTCAGCAGGCATTTACATCAGAATATGGGGACAGGGCTTGAGAATTGTAACTTTCTGTGAATCCCAGCAGAAACAGCATTCAGTGTGCCAGTTCGTCCCTTTCTGCTGTAGTTGGACAACACTTCATGTTAGGAACACTGTATTTCTTGAAAATAGGAGGAAATAAGCAGCTCTACTGAGCATCAGTCCCCACCTCATTCATTACATGTTCTCTCATTCTCAGCCTTTCTTCTTCCATTTCAACCATGTCATCTTCTTCATTTTTGGGATCATAAACTTTTTCTAGCTGAAATTGAAAATGAGCAAATGTTAGTTCGGAGAAATGACAAATGACAGCATATTTGGAACAGCAGCACCAGATGCTGCTAAAAACATGAGATCACCATTTTTTCAACAGAGTGAGTTTGTGTGTGTAATTCTCCTCTTTTAGTATATTTTTCAAGCAACAAGTGAGCCTTTCATTGCTGAGAATGAAGTTTTCAGTTAATTCATGTGGCCTGTTGTAATTCAGTGCTGTGGACGTTACAGTAAAATTGACCTTGGCATGCACAGTCTGATCCTACATTTGATTCAAAGCAGGCAGAGTTTCCACGTGATTTCTGGAACAGGAAAGAGTAGCTTTTTTTACCACAGCATGCAGCTGACCCTGTAGGCATTCTGGATATCACAAGACAAATCAAGGGCCTAATTTAACAGTCCACTTTTCTTCTTGCACAGTGTCTTTCTGGTGAGTTTATGCTTATCTGCTTCTACTTAGCATGTTAGTCATTTAGCTTTGCTTGCTTACCATAGGTAATTTTAAGGCCCCAACTACTGTTTTTTTTTTAAACTACAAAGCTGCAAGAAAGACTGCCATCTATCTTCTTGTATTAGAGGGGATTATGGCAAAGCATTGTTAGAAACTTGTATTTGCAAATTTAATTTCTTCAAAGTTTTACAGTAGTTTAAATTTATAAGCTTCTATATACACTGGATAGCACATTTCTTCCCTGACTCATGAAATCTAGAAAAAAATTGCACGGCTAGATTTTGACAGCCATAGTACCAGATCTTTGAATGAGAAGTTTAGGGTTTTTGGCTGCTATACCAAAACAGAACCTACTGGAAAAATGAAGACCAAAGCCCTTAGTTTACTCCTTGATTCTGCAATTCCCATCACTGTCAAATTTCAGTGCATTGCTATCATTATTCCTCTGGGAGGAAAAGAAATACTACTATTTGCATTTTCACAGACAACAAACCAAGCCTTAAAAATACTAAGAGCCTGCCTACTTTATCAGATGTACACGTGCTCCAAACTATGTGCTCTCATAAAAAATATGAGAAATTTCTGTAGCCGCTTCCACAATGTGCTGTCTTTGAGCCAATTCACATGAGTACGACCCCTTTTCTCTCCATAAGTCTTACGACTTTAGATGAGCACTGAATGAGCATAACTACACAGCTTCTGAACCTCTATCAGGCTGCATCCAGCCAAAGCAGGGGTGCAGCTCTCTGCATTGCATTTTATACAGGTGTAGCAATCTTGGCAGATTAATTATAACATCTCAAACAAGCCTGTGGCAGAGAAATACGTGAGCATTAGATCTCTGGAGTCTGAGTCCTGTGCTTCAACTACTTTATTTTCTCTGCTGATACGTTTTTACACTTTTACACTTTTCTACTTTTGTAGAAACATTAAGGATGCACAAAATTTGGCATGAATACTCTAATTTGTAGTTTGAACCCCCCAGATATACTTGTAAAAAATACAAACAACCCCATAACCATCTACTGAAACAAGTTAAGTTTCTGAACTGTTTTTTTGTTACCTCTTTAGTAAACAGGGCTTCTAATTCCTGCTCATCCAGGAAACCATCATTATTGACATCTACAAAAATAAGTGTTGAAAATAAAACATAAGCATGTAGAGAAAGTAATACATGTAGTAGTTCTCCATGAGTTAAATAAGTATCAGCATACACATTTCATGTGGATTAAAAATGTCATTTACCAAGATGCTGGTTACATAGGTAATTTTTTCTGTTCAGGTTTTTGAACTGTATTGCCATTTTGAGTTGTTTGGTTGGACGAGTCTGGAGCAATCTCCCTACTTCTTTGATTAGTAAACTGACATAGGTCACAACAGGATTGCACAGAGTACAATTGACAAAAAATATTGCTGAGAACAAGTCGTGCCAATTTTACAACTATATTTGTAAGGATGTTCAGGAGCAACAAAAATCTGCAGAAAAATTTTGATAACCAACAGTATGACTCTCCAAAAAACATAAAGAATTCTGTTAAAATCCTATATAAATATGCAGTACTTGAGATCACTGTAAAATGCTTTTTCATGACAAATGCAAAGAGGAGAATACTTGATAACTAATCATTCATCTTTTATCCTACATTCTACTCTGAATATGCATCCTCATCTCTGCTACTATTTTATTGTTTCTAGCTGCACACTGCTCAGAAATACAGAGGCAGGATTGCAGGGGGCATTTTGGTTTTTGTTTTATTAAGGGAATCTTGCAACTTCTGAAGAGGCTTGACACTTCTATGACCATTCCAAAGACAGGGGGTATCTGGCACTTATCTGCAGAGATTATGAGAAAACATGTTTTCCCCCACACACACACTCCAAGGATTTATTCCTAGTATATAGTGTGTATGCAAAGTCACAGATATGGACTGCCCTCTAAGTACACATACTTCCCTGAGGAATCACTACTGGTTATTAGCTGTATGATTTTAAGAGTAGTTAAACAAAACTCTGTTCTTTTAAAGCCCATTAAAAACTTTGCAGTAAACTTACAAACAATAATATAAATATTTTCTCCTCTGTACTCTTCAGATTCATCCAAATTGTTTGAGGTTTAAGACTTCATCCTAGCATAAGACTAACTTGCCCTCAGCAGAAGGTAACAGAAATTCACTTCACTTGTTCATTAAATTAAACTAAATGTCTTACCGTGTAATTTGAAAAATGTTTTGGGGTCAAATTCATTAGGATCTAGTCCATCTGCTTCTTCCCACACCTCTTTCAGTTGATCTTTGCTTCCCTATAGATTGGTTACAAATAAAAACTATTCAAAAGATGATTAAGTGTAATCTTTCTGCATTACCTTTGCATTATAATTTCTCTGAAAGGCTTGTTTTCTGATTAGTCATGTTGTGAATGGAATCAATGGAATTTTCTTTAATTCCCTTTTAGTGAGGTCT